AAGCAGAATACAGTGGCACTGTTATTTCCCTTGATCTAGATCAGGGGTCGGCAACCTACGGCCTGCGGGCTGGGTGCGGCCTGCGAAGGCCTTGGGACTGGCCCATGGCCAGTCCCACTGCTTCTGGTGTGCCGTGTGCAAGCGCGGGTGCCATTTTTGCATCCAAAATGGTGCCTGTGCTTGGCGCCGTCCACATGCACGGGCGCCATTTTGGACGCAAAAATGGCACCCACGCTTGCGGGCGCCATTTTGGAAGGCCCCACTGGGGCTGCGCCATGCGAATTAACCCAAGGTCATGGGTGGGGGGCCTTCCCTGGGCCTTGGTAATACTCCCCCACGCGTGCGCCATGCAAATTTGCCCAGCACACGTGCGGGGGGCCGTTCCCAAGGCCCAGGGAACGCCCCCGCCTGTGCGCTGGGCGAATTCACACAGTGCACGCGCAGGGGGTGTTCCAAAATGGTGCTCTCCATCCTCGCACGCATGTGCACGACAGCGGCCGTTGTGCATATGCACGCGAAGGGGGCAAGAGCGCGGGGGGGCAAGCGCACACAGGCCCACCCGGCCCTCGCGCCATTCCCCCCCTCCCCCAGCAACAATGTTGCCGACCCCTGATCTAAATACTATACTTCTATTGATACGGCCTAAAATCACATTGAGGATGAATGAACAGCTGCAAGACTCCTCTGCTGCTCTGTGGTGGAGGAAGAGTTTGGGGAAATGCTCGCCCCTCAGGGCTCCTCCACTGCCCCATTTTCTACGGAGGAGAAAGCCAGGCGGCGGTGGTGGAGGACAGACAAATGCTTGTCCTGCAAGGCTCATCTTCTTCCCAGCTTTCTCTTGAGGAAAGGGCTAGGCAGAGGAGGAGGAGGAGGGAGGAGTTAATATTAACGAAATTAATTAATATTAATTAATAATGATTTGTATAATTAATTAATTAATATTTAATTAAACCTATCTGTGGCCCAAAGTTTTGCCTATTTTAATTTTGGCCCCTTCCTACTGCCCAGTTGTGTAGGTCTGATC